GGTGTGAGGCAAAAAAAAAAAAAAGCTAAAGGTGTCTCTTAGTGACCATCTGAATCAAGCTAGGACTTCTAGTCTAGGAAAGGTGCTCTGTGAGGATCTTTGAAAGAAGAAAAACGAGTCAAGAAAACAATAATCATGGCTACTAGTTTTTACTTTTCAAAGTTAGCAGTCAGTTAAATGTACATTATCAAAAAAAGGCCCAACTTTTTAAATCACTTATCCTCAATCTCCAGATAACATACAAAAAAGGACAAACCAGTACATTATAAAGCTGCACATTTTGTACCAGATACAATAATAAAATACACAATGCTACATTAAGTGGTTAAAAATACAAAGGGGAAAGAATATTGATTTGTTTTTAAACATCTTTAAAGAATATACAATGTTATTTTTCTTAACTACTCAAGGATTTTAGTAGAAAGTGCATTCTATATAACAAAGGAAGGAGGAGGAGAATCATTTTGCAATGGAGACAAAACAGACATGAAGGGGGGGAAATGGACAAATGCTTTTCTAACAATACATGGATGGGCAGCAGGAACACCGTTGAAACTCTGAGAGGAAGGTCCAGATTGAAGGTTATTCATCTCAAAATGAAGTAGTTAGCTATGGTCCCACCTTCACCCCAGATTCTCCTCCTTTCCTTGCTTTAAAAAAAAAAAAATCCACTAGAAATAATCACCTCCATCTTTTCCCATACAGACACCACAGCATTCTGTTCCACAATGCATTGCCACCCCCTCCCCTAACCCTTTTCCCTGCGCCTCACCCACGCAGCAGTAAAGTGCAGAGAATACACACAAATGAAAAGGCTTTAAAAAAATAAAATAAAAAAGGAACAATACAAGACTGGAAATACCCCTACTGCAAAAATCCTGAATCCCAGCAGTGAGCTTACAGGGATCGAATGATAGCGAAAATATTGCAGCTTTATCAAGACCCCCAGAAATGGCAGGATAATTGCAGGTCTGGCACTAAACTACTGAGCTTAACCACTTCAGACTGAATACCATCAGAGTGACAGGAAGGGTTATTTTACTGCTATTGTCCAGCCCCCTTGCTCCTGTAATGACACATTATTGGGACACATTGTAAAGCAGCTTTGGGTAAAAGATCGCTGAAGACGACCACGGTGGGCTGAGTGAGATCCAATGCATGTACGATATGCACTCAATATATTATTAGTCAGAGGTGGCAAGAACCAGGCAACACAAATTCATACCCAACACGATCCAACAGCTTCCTCTCCTCAGCAACGTTCACACTATAAGCCATCTATTTACTGACCACGGCTTTAAATCCTGACTCTCCTCATAATGTGCTAACAGTAAATCAACAGGCCTGACCAAATATTTACATACACTGTATAATTTTTTTTCCTCCCCTCGCTGGAAATAAGCAATTTCTTCACTGTTCAGGTAAGTAAGGGTTCAACCAAATGCTTTAAAGTTTCTTGTCTTTCTTTGAAGAGAATTTTTATATACATTGAAATGCTGTAAATAAAACAGGAAAGCCCTGTGTTGATTTCACAGCTTGTTAGGTAGCTGATCTGGATGACTAACACCTTAAAAGTGCTTACTTCCTCTCATTATTGAGAATCAAATAAAATCTAACAGTGAACCAGGAAATCCAAAGGTCCATTTCCTCCATGGTTTCCTGAACCTCGAAGGTGCCACATCCACCTGTTTAAACAGTTTTATCCAAGGATTGACACCACAGACGTGTTCAGTGATCACAGTGCTCAGAAAGTGAAATGCTCTCTGTACCAGAGAGAAAATTTATCTGGTGAGACGGACGAGAACAAACCCAAGATCAAAGGAAAGATTTTGTGAAGAAGGTGGTTGAAGCTGCTTAAATTCTCCAGAGTGAAAAAAAACCTCTACTGACATAAAAAAAATGTATTGCTTTTAATTGCTTAATATTAAATGACCTTTTGTGCCCCAAAAACCACCTTTAAAAAAGTATAATGATCCACATAGTGAGAAACAAACCATAATTCTGAAAGAAAGGGTTGGATAAAACTTCAAAATGCACTGATTCGCATTTTCAGAAACAACTTATGTTATCCAGCGAAATAAGATAAAATCCTGAATCATTTTTACACTTAAGAAAAGTCACACGATCCAAGCTGTAAAGTTAAGTACAGGGGGGGCAGCATCATACTGTGGGAGTGTTTTGTAATGGGGGATCATTTCACCTTTTAAACAGTGTTTTTAAGAAATACTGAAGCATTATTTATGCCAGGAGGAGGTTAAAGAGACGATGACCCTGATGATGCAGTAAAATCAGCCCTAAATAGGTTATATGTTCTGGAGTGGTCTCCCACAAAAAAAAAAACCTTCAGAAAGATTTAAAAGAGTTAACAATGGGGCTACAAAGCTGAGTAACATCATTTTTGTCAGGAGGAATTGGCCAAAATACCAGCAAACTGTTCCAGGAATCTTTTTTAAGAACACCAAAAACGTTTGGGCAAAGTAAAAAATTTTCAGTCGCTCCAAAAAAAGCTCCCTCCATTTATCCCAGTGCTTCATGAATACAAAACATATTTTTGAATCCTAACACTGATTTAAAATCAGGAACAGTTAAGGCTGACTCATGTCAGAAGATGAGAAACATTTTTTATTCAGTGTATGTAAATATCTGGTTTTAACTGAACGTGACGCTAATATTATACAAAGTAAATAATCTGAGAACATGAATCAAGAACAGTTCGTAAACCATCATTCTGCTTAGGCGACATTCAACAGGTTTAGACATGCGGTGGTCTTTTGTGGACCTAAGTTTGTAAGCACAGAAATCCGCCCCCTAAAAAAAATAATGTCTAACCTGTACAATACAACACCACCCCACACCAAACTGTGGAATACAGGCTGAGAAGAATAATGCATAATATCCTGTTAGGAGCTTTAATGAAAAAGGTCCCAGTTGTGTATACTCTGTGTGAGTGAGTGTGTGTGTCAGGTGACCTTTACCATGGTAACCCGTATTGTTTAAACAGCAGCAACGGGAGGGTTGGGATCAAAATTAAAATTAGAGGACAAAATCAGACGGGGCCACATGTCTGGCCCCTCACAGTGGTAGTATTATTTGACAGTCATTCATCTTCATCTCAAAGCAACAGTCCTGTAAGCTGAGGTGGTTCTACTGGTCGCTGTAGGTAAATCAGGGGTGGTCTTTGTCTTCGGCGTGTGAGGCGCCTGGGGAACATCCTGCTTAAATAAAGTCGCCTCGATCATGAAATATCAAGACAAACATTAATCTTTCTGCAGGAGCGCCATACTAAAGAACAGTTTGTATCAAACACACAACTTCAGGTTATGAAAAATTAAATGTAAAAGCAAGGAGTTTTTTTAAGTAATGGAATGGAAAGCACCATTTTACTATGACATGAATCTGAGACTGTCCAGATTTAACTGAATTTTACAAAGTTAAAAATAACAAGAACTGCTCTTCCATCACACTGTAACCTATGGCACTGCATTTTGCTCTACTGCTGTTTGCCCTCCAACAGACAGTCCTACAGGGAAAGTTAAAATGTTCTCAACTGAAGTTCTGTCACTAATAGTTAGCTATAGCAGACGGATTTCATATTACTGTGAGCTTGTAGCGGTTTGGTGGAAAGTTGACTGTTACATAAAGGCATTTTTCTATCTAGATTTAGGGAGTTAAAACAGAACTAAAAACACTTTTATATCAAACACAAATCTGTATTTGCAAGTGAAATTGGACCCAGTTTGTTATGTGGACATTGGAGACAGAAGCGTCAAATTGGTTATGTACTAAAATGGGGATTTCGGTATAATTTTATTTGGAAAATATCATTTTTAGATCAATCTAATCGTCCGTGTATCTTTTTACCTCACAAAAGACTGCCACTTTATCCTCAGAGTTATTAGCCTGACGTAGTCCGACTCAATTCTAGTCAGAATATGAGTCTGATACTGCTCCATAGAGCTGTGATTATGGGGCGTGTTTCGAACGAACCAGGAAAAAAAATGCCTCTGCACTCAATTGGATAGACCTACAACCAATAAGAGCAACGGAGTGCGTGACGTATGTTAAGCCACGCATAGTTGTTGTCCACAAAAATCAAAGCGTGCAGTTGCACGCCTATAATAAGAAGATGAGACTTGATCGCGTTTCTCTGTTCCTCTTTTAAAATTAATTTGCTGTCGATATCTTCTAGAACAGACCTAATAGCAGAATCTACTCACCTAAACTCTCCAGCGGCAGCCATTATTGTTGTCACCCAAGCGCGCTTTGGTCACTTGGTTGATTGCGTTACTGTTGGTCATCTGTCCATCATCGTATAAAGCCCGCCCTGACAATTTGATTGGATCGCCTGACAGTGGGCGATAATACTCGCGCTACTATGGAGCAGAGCCAGACCGAACTTCCCGACCTCAAACTTTGTGGGCGGGACTAAGTTCGGAATGGCACCCAGGCTACAGAGTTATTGCACTAAGTGATGTTTTTACCAGCTTTATCAATATCTAAACAGTGTTTAGCCATTTAAAAGTTGCTTTAAATGGCTAAAATCAAGTAAAAAGGAGAACAAAAACTCACGGCAATATGACATCGGTCCACTATAACAGAACCTCACTATTAAAAACGCAAACTATCCCTTTAACACTGGCTTTTGTACATAAAATGAGGCTCAGGTAGAGCCAGCTTCAACATTCATTAAACATTTGTTTGCCCACGAGGTTTCTGCTCTACAGCTTGGAGAATAAGTAGAATATTGCTATGTGGATGAGCTGCACACAAAGCTCATGTCCTGACTAATGTATGACCTCAGGTCAAAAAAAAAAAAAGCGGAAAGTTCGTGGAAACAGATCTTTGAGGGTCCATTGAGGCCAAGAAATATGGATTTTAAGTTCCATCAGCAGCTTTTTGATGAGAACAAGTTTCTACCCATAAATCACACAGAATCATTTTCTGAAGGAGAAAATTGAATTTCTGCAGATTGTAACACCGTTTAGGTGATCAGTTTTTTAAAGTGATGTCTCACTTAGTGTGCATGGGGGTCAGAAAAGTTTGAATCTCTAATGTTTGCTTGACAAGCAAAACAGGAAACCTCCATTGTCTGATGAAGATGTATGCTTCTACTTGAATACCTACTGCTGTCTGCAACATCTCTGCGGGACGGCTGAAAGCCTCCAGCGTAGAACAAACTGGATCACTACTGCTGAATCCCAGTGTGCTGCTCATGCTAAGCCCTCTCTGCAGGCGTAGCTTCAGGTTTCTCCATCTGAGAAACGGAGCTTTAAGAAGACAACAAGCAAGGCGCGGTTTGGTGCTGCCTGCAGACAGCGGTGCACAGTTCAGTGATGCTGTGGCGCTCCAGGGGCCTTATCCAGGGGGGCCATGTGGTGCAGGTAGCTACTGTCTTCATGCCCACAGTGGTTAAGGGGCTCACTCTTAAAAAGAGCTGGAGGAGGGGGGAGGTGAGCGACGGGGGGAACCACCAGGTGGTGATGGCTGTGAGGAGGAGCCTGTTGGGGTGTGTTGGAGAGATGGGAATGATGATGGGAGGGAGCTGAGTGGAGCTGAACGTGGGAAAATGTGTGACCAATGTGACTTTGCTGCGGAACGGGGCCTCCAGTCGAGCTGAGGCCAAGAGAAGCCGAGGTGGTAGCCGGGGTTGCAGCTGAGGGACCGGGGACGGTGGTGGGGGAAGAAGAGGACGAGGCAGGAGAGGAGAAGGCATTTGCAAACAGACGGACCGGAACTGTGGCTCCACCACTCTGTAGAACCACAGGGCTGGTGACCCGGAAGCACTTCTCCTTATGAGCTTTCAGCATGTTGGAGAAGCGGAAGCGCTGGCCGCACACCTCGCAGGGATATGGCTTCTCGCCTGTGTGGGTGCGGCGGTGACGCTTCATGTTGGGCCGGCTGGTGAAGCTCTTCCCGCAGATCTCACAGATGAAAGGCTTCTCCCCTGAATGGATTCATATGAAAATGGAAAAGACAAAAAGACTGGTGCGTCAGTCAAATCAATTGCTGTCAAAAGTACTGGTTGAACAATTAAGGCTTTGCACACAAAGATTCATTTTCAATTTCGACTCTGAGAATGCAAATAAGCTTCCATCTTGAATCGAGGGTCTCTGTCAACCCACCCACTCCCCGGGAAGCTATTACAATTCACACTATGTGGATCAGAGATGTGAAAGTGAACAACAGCAGCCCCGTTAGAATGCCGCTCTCATTAACCTCCCTCCATGGAGCCACTAAATGTGCCTGTTACCACCCACACAGCCATCTATTAACAGCCTGCTGAAGGGCTCTCTAAAATGCCTTATTCTGGCACATTATGTGTGAATCTTCTCCACGCCAACTGAATATCAAAAGGTGACAGCTGATGCGCTCGCCTTCTGTACCTGTTACATTTAAACATGGGAATTTACATGCTGAAGCAAAGTTTGGTATATTACAGAGTGGGACTGGGTGTGGCTCCTCCTGGATGAGGCTAAATTGGTCAGTAGCAGCAGGGATGCGGGAGGGCAGCATAATTATACATCACAAATATAACCTTGAGGGCCAACAGAGTGTAGCGTGTCCACCCACGGCTCAGGGAGAAAAAACAGCAGATGATGTGCAGGCATCAAGGCTTGGGTTTTTTTTTTAAAAAGAAAATTGGTGAAACATGGACCAAAAAAAACCCCAAGAGGAATGAAAAGCTTCATGTGTCCGGGTATTCATTACAAGCCACAATATATTCAAGGCTTTACTTAGATGTAAAACATCCCTCTCATTGCCTGAGCAAAGCAAAGAGGCAACACCCCATTATGCGCCTTTTTATAGAGAGTTTGTGGTGCCTGCAAGGCTGGGAGGAAGGAAAACAGGAGCTTGGAAAGATTTGAAAGAAATCTCCCTGCATTATAATGTAAACATAAAACAATCATTATTATTCCTCAGTTTGATTTTAGTTACAGCTAAAAAGCTTTCAATGATCTCTCCATCTGTTATTAAATCAGACGTATTGGCTGTTTAACTGAAATCCACTAGTTTTTCTTATATCCACCAAATTCAGGTTTTTAAGACTTGTTGAAAACCTTTTTTTAACGTAGAAATTATCCCTAGTTTGCCTGATAGACTAATAAATATATATAAAAACAAATAAATCTGCACTCAAATTGGATATGAATTTCCCTGATGTTAAAAAGATAAATAATCTAATATCTAAGGTGTGTATTAAATCCTGCATAGAGGACGCATGGGCTCTCACCTGTGTGTGTTTTCATGTGCTCGTCAAAGTACTGTTTCATGTTGAAGTCTTTGCCGCACCACTGGCACATGAACTGCTTGTGTCCGATGTGAATGCTCATATGAGAGCGCAGCTGGTACTTGTACTGGAACCGTTCATCGCAGTGCTGCAACACAAGGAGGAAACTCTCCCATCAGATACAAAGAAGATGGAAAGATTCTCAAAAAAAAAAAAACTAAAGCGTCACCTTTCTTTGTACATTTCAGCAGTACTTTTTTTTTCTTTTCCTTTTTGAATTTCTGTGTAATGTGCAGTCGATTTCTGTTTATTTTGGCATGTGAAGTTTTCAGAATGAACTTATGTAAGAAGAGACCGTCCCCCTTCAGAGGAACAAGGTCACCTCTGATTGGCCCCCTCCGATGGCCTGAGGAGAGACTTTCCATCATCCAATATTTAACTCGGGTGAGAATAAAAATCAATGAAAACCTAAATGCAGAAAGAAAAAAAAAGCCACTTATGTTCAGGGTCAGCCACCATACAGCATATTTGCAGTCAGGGTTTCTTTGTTCGCCTCTTTCTAAAGGTTAGTGATCTATCTATAGCCCCGGTGCCTCCACCTGACTAAATAAATGTCTGTGGGCAGAAAAAAAAAGAAAAAAGATTTGTAAGAATGTAAGGCCACTGAGGGGAAAGGCCTACATGTTATATAACCTAATAGGCATGTAATCAGACCTTAGTGTCTGCGGTAGCTTCTACCATCTAATTAGAAAAGCTCCACCCATGGAAATGTTCTTATTGTGGTAGCGAACACTTTAAAAGGCCGGGATGGGGAAGAAGGAAGGAAGCATGGATAACTTTGGGGATACAGAGATAAAAAAAATGACCAAATGCTTTCCAAAGCCATGTTGAGAGTGTAGAGTTTTAGCTGCTAAGCAATGAGTATTCGAGTTTATAATGTTTCACATGATTCGAGTTCAACTCTGACAACAGTCTGGTGAATGTTTAATGTTTGGAAAGAAAAGATCAAATTATATTAGTTGTCAATAATAAACTGCAGGAGTGCAAACATATGTTATGCTTAGTGTGCTTAAAAGGAATTGAAAGATTCATTTATTAACCAGAAGAGTTTATTCCCAAAGTTTCAAACTGCTGTACTTTATATCATACTGTTTGAAAGTTCATGTTGTTTAAAATAATGTCTATTTGATGCAGCCCTGCATCCCGCTAAAGATAACAAAAACATTTATGAAAAAATGTTTATGTGAAGTAATGCTAAAAAGACGTGACTTATTGTCTACTATGGATTCTAACCTATTAACTCTGCATTGCTGCTGTGAGCAAAAAACTAAATGAAAGCATCACAACAGGAAGAAATCAATGGCTCCCTCTGGATATGGATTATAAGAGCTGCCTTTAAGGTCACGTCATCCTACTTCTGCATCTTTAGGAGGAAAAAAAAAACATTTCAAAAACACTTGACATAGAAACATGGATAATATCAATCTATTAAAGGAATAGCAGTGGGTCGCTAATAGTTTTTATAATGATGGTCTTTGCAGTTTATTTCAATCAAACAGAGAGAGAGCCATTATGCACAGAGTGATGTGGAGGAGTAGGACTTGCTGGTAGGCTTTGGATTCATAACCACATTTCTCCTACGGGAACAATATAGTATAATTCTGAATCTCAGCCAAGTCTGGAGTATAAATTAACAGTTGCTTCGTTCATCATTACATCCATTAAAGAAAGTAAACCTTGGGTCAGTATCCCAGCCCCACACCATGAAACTACTGCTACCCTGTGTGACTGAAGGTTCTGGGTTTGTTTTACATGAAGGGATCATACATTTTTGGCTAATAAGAGACAGGCCAATCTCCAGGTTTCATTCAGCAGCAGTTTTTGCATTGCAACAGTGCAAAGGATGCGGCATTTACCCAACATTTATCTTAATCTTAAATGCTGAAATCAATTAGTGCACATAAGACCTGCAGGCCTTTGAACCTAATTTTAGTAACCTTCAGGATGAGTCTTTAATGTGTTATCAGAATAAGTTCAGGCAACTCCTGGATAGCATCACCACTGCTTTATGCTTTTTATGTTTGTAGATAAATGATCTAATTGTGGTTCCCTTTAAACCCCAAAGCCTTTGAAATGGTTTGAAATACAGTGAAAGGTATCATGGACTCATTTCCCATCAGGGTGTGATGCCATTTCTGCTTGGCATAAATCAGGCATGGGTATGTCTCGTTAAAGTGGAAACTTCCCAAAAATTGTGGTTAATCTGAGTTAAAGCGTGATTTAACAGAGGGGGGGTGGGGTGGTCTAAAATAGCATTTTTTGTTAATAAATGACAGTGTAATCTAAAGCTAGATTCTTTATTTACTCAGGTTATCTTTGTCTTATGTAAGATTTTTTCTGATGATCTGAAACATTTAGATGTGGCAAGAGAAAGTTTTCTTTCGAAGTTCTGCTTCTTCTGCCAGATAAATTTTTTTAATTTATTTAACCTTTACAGCTAACATATTGTGAAACAAGGAAAATATTTTGCATTTATTATTTTTTTGTTAGCTAAGGCAATAGGGGGAAAAAGGTGCAGCAAAGAATAAAGGTATAGATGTCTTTGCAGTTGGACAGTTAAAGCAGCAGTGATTTGGTGACGCCATCTGTTGGAATGTCTCTGAAAAGCAGAACAAGTGATAAATGAACCACCAACGCATGAGTGGAAATTCTTTTGAGATGCAAATTATATGTTAGATAGCAAGAACTGACTTTCATCATGAAGAATATTACCGAAAATCCCAGCAGAATATGACTCAGATTCATCTTTTATTTTCACACAAAAACATCTCTGTCAAAAAAAAAAAAAAATGGGGGGGACTAAGGGTTGATGAGCGTCACATGCGGCTCCTCATGGGACAGCAGCACTTAAGTTTTCTTCTTCTCTTGTTTCGGGTACACTGAAAAAAGGCTTGATGATATGAAGCAGGGCATATCCAGATCTTTATGACTATCAAAGACAAATTCATAAGTAAATAAAGAATTTACCATCTGAATTTCTTTGCTTTATATTTTCAGACACCATCACTGAGAACTTGGTTTATATATTAAATATCTAATTATCGCTCCAAGCTATTTATAACAGTTATGTCTATTGTTGCATTTGAACCTTAAGTGGATTCTTTTTACCATCAAACTCTTATCTATTTTTTTATTAAATGCAAACATTTAATAACCTGTTAAGTGTAGTTGATGCAACAGCGAGCACAATAACCTGCTGGACTGACATCTTTATGGCATTCTATTTACTTATCTTATTGCAGAATGAATGCATTTCCTTAGGATGTTTGTTCTTTATTTATGGAAACATCTCAGTCACATGATGTTATGGCAAATACACACAGAAAGGCTATATTCACTAACAAACTGAACAAAAACAAATCTTTAAAGGCAGCGAAATGCCAGATTTTGTCATTAAAACATGCACCAGAGTGATTTTCTGATGCTTGAGTTTTATAAGTGTCAAATAATGTGATAAAGTTCCTTTAATGGGAGCCTCTTACCTCACAGCGGAAGGGTTTCTCTCCGGAGTGCTGGAGCGAGTGAACCTTTAATGACATGCTTCGTTTAAATGACTTCCCACAAGTCTCACAGGTGAAAGGCATGTCTTTAGTGTGAGCTGGAAATTAGGAGAAAATATAACTTAATGTGCATCTATTGGCTGTTGAACTGCATTAAAGATTCATATAACAATATTTAGAAGCTATCAGATCTGAACTCGTACATCTGAAAAGTTTAAAATGAAAAAAAAATGACCAATTTTACCAAAACTTGGTTTGACAGAAAAAAAATAAAATAACCCAACTTACCAACCATGTGCTTCCGGACATGAGCCATTGTATAAAACTTCTTCTCACAAATTTCACATGAGAATTTCTTCTCGGCGTAGCCATGAACAATCTTAATGTGCTCATGAAGTGACCACAGCTTCTTAAAAGACTTGTTACAGGAGACACACTGTGGAAAAAAAAAAAAAAAAATGGCAGAAATAAATATTAAACCTTAAACTATTTAACTATTTTTTTTTATCAGCAGCTGCAGGTTTTGGATAGTGTATCGGCTCCCTCTGCTGGGGAAGAAAATTAGACTTCTGATTCAATTAAAGAGGAGAAAAAAGTAGATTTTATTTTACTGATGTAAATCATTTCAACAAACATTAATACTTTCCACCCAAAGTGGTAATTGTATATCAAATTAAAGTTTATGGATGAACTTTAATATTTAACATTTAAAGGGTTAGTGGTTAGATAAAACTGCAAATGTTCATGCGAGTAGTGGACTGGAAACAATAAAGTGACCAGAGCCAGGATCCACAGTGAAGCTAGTTTTACTTTAACATAAAACTAACATCCAAGAAAGAATCTCCTGCCCAGAAAATAAACGCCTACAAACTTGACTGAAAATTACAGCTGCTAGAAAAATGGCTCCTGGTCATATTGTAGATCTGGTCAATAGATCTCATTAATTTCACTGCTGGGGTTTAACAAACTGCCAAAACAAGCACAAAGCAAGGTGTTGGCAGTGTCTTGATGTGGGAATGTTTCAATGTTGAAAGAGGAGGATGAAATAATGGAGAATGATGTCCAAATTCATTAACTCTACCTTAGTGCAACAGCTAGAAGTTTGGACTTCAGGGGATGTTTCAAGAAGACAGTGGGTAGAGGAAAAAAAAAAAAAATTTTTTTAAAGAACATGTAGAGCAGCCTACTACTGAGATGATAGGAAGAAAAAAACTTCTCAAAGCCCCAAATTTAAGTAATACCTTAAAGACGAGTCCATCCCAAAAACTCTATCCATTTAAACTAAACTTCACTAAATGAAAAACAACATCTGTCAGAGGCTTGTACACTGATGCACTATGAGTGGGGGTGTATGTGGGCATTGGAGACAAGGTCATTTCCACCAATAAAAACCTCTTCACCAAATTTTGCTTGTTTACATTTGATAAAAGATATTTTATAACTAATGCAACTAAAAACAAAGATTCATTAATTGAATAAAAGCTAAACAATAATATGACATTCATGTTTACCATGAGTATATAAGCCTCTTAATAAACTATCCATTATCAAATATAGATCTGCTTCTTCAATGGCCGCCAACTTTCAGACTGCAAGGCTTTCTACAGAAACAATCCTGAACCTCAGATTAAATGAAAAATCTCATAAAAATCCCTAACCTACTGATGGCGTGGCTTAGATGTAGAGATAATCTGATTCAGTTTTTAATACCGATTATTTTGACATCAGTCACATCAACCCCCCAATTATATGATCCAGATTTTTTGGGGCCGATGTTTTAAAAGCAACATCATTTTCACTTCCTGAATTTACATAAAAATAAACACACTGACAACAGATGTTACACAAGTCTCCATTTAAATACAAAGAATAATAAGTTATTAAATCAAACTAGACATTAACAATGGAGAGTAAACAGCAAGAGCATGTATTTAAATAGTATGTTAAGATAAGCATGTTCATCAGCCAATTTTTAACCATCCACTGTATAGATCAGGATGCATTGTGCATACTACATGCAGCTTTTACTCCTTTGTGTACCTTCTGTTTATTCAGAGCCAATGTCAAAAGTGAAATTCTCCATTGTGAGATCAATAAAATTCTATTCTATACTATGCAGATATTAAAAACAATATCAAAATTAGCTCAAAATAGTGAATAAATTAAAGAAATCTCCATGCCTGTCTGTCTGTCTTTAGATATAGATGCATATATTCAGGATTACAGACTTCCTAAATTAGTCTGAGAAACTCTTGAAAGTCTTGTTGTTACAGTGGCGTGAAAAGGGGTATTTTCCTCATAAAGGTGAGCTTTTCTTAAAAAAAAAAAAAAAACCTGGTGAGGTAAAGAAGAAACAGTTGTGAACATATTGATTTTCTCTCAGGCAGCTATAGCTGCTATAGCTCTAAATATCCACCTCTGAAATGCAGAAATATGTTTATGCAAAACTTCATTTTGAAAAAACACGAAATAGACCACCATAAAAATGCTTTTTATCAAAACGTGTGTTGATTTTTTTTTATTATGATAATCAGAGGCTAAGAAGCTGGAAGAAGTTTAGATTTAAGGCCACAGATTTATCCATGTTTGTGTACCGAGGCCAGATTTAGCAAAATCTTAAATGTTTGCAAGTTTCCTGCTTTACTTATGAAAAAAGCCTTAGACCCTCACACTGGGGCATTGTTAGTACAAATTAAAGCAGCTGTTCAGACACCCTGGGCTCCAAAATAACTTGAAGATGCAAATCAAAGTCAGAGAAATCGGGCCAATTCAAGCGATCAGAACAGCTGGGCGTCCCTGAGGAATTTAAAGGCTGAAGCACATCTTTTGTTATCAGGAAACCAAAAACACAACATGACAGCAGAGACTGATACAGGCTTACATAAGCCGTGTTCAAATCTAGAAGCACAGGTAGCATTAAATGCAGCTAGGTTTTCTTAATATTTACTGCACTTAACATATAATTTTGGAGTGTAATATTAGTTTACCATAATAAATCTACCATTTTATCCATAAACATATCCAAGTAGTCGAAATTCATATGGAAGCAATTCAGTTTGGAAAAACTAGAGCCATTTCAGGCATACTTTGAAATATTGAATTCAGATTTGGCAAATTTTATACTGGTAATGTTATATACAAACATCATGACTCATTAAAAAAAAAAAAAAAGGAACACCTGAAGCTCCCACTAAAAGAATCGGTTTGGCAGATTGTTGTACGATGAAAAAACTGAAAAACTGAGGATTTGTGGAAACCACCTAATGCCAACTAAACCAGGGAGCTTTTACAGAAACTTTAACCATGTCAGAGGAACCTTAACTCAACAGGAAAACAGCAGAGATTTGCATAAATACTAAAACTGCTGATTCATTGTAATGAATATTCAGGTGAATAAAAGTAGGAACAGATAATGTCATGTTTAAATCCTCTCATGTTTTTCATAGATTTGGCAATGCAAAAACATTAAACAAATTGACTTAGATTTAGAATAATATGGAGTAAAAAAAGCCATAGATAATGCAGTCCATATGATAACATCGTCAATGTGAGAGAATTATGCAAGGATAAAGTCACTGAGGTATAAAAAAAAAAAAAAGACCCACCAGTGGTTCTAGAGTAGCATACTGGTAGCCTTAAGTATCCTTAAGATAGGAAGAAAAAATGGCTGGTTTTGAAACCATAACGCATTTAGTCCTTCAATACCATGATATCCTGCAGATGCACATAGTGAACATGTTTGTGCATGTGCAACTTTGCAGTGCTACAGGGCACACATAGCAGACCATGAAGAGAAAGAAATGACTTGCCACTGTATAAATAAGACATCTGTTAATCTTCCTTGGAAAAAACATAAAAAGGCAAAGTAAATTTTAAATAATTTAAGTAGTCCCCTAATACAACGGAACGGTTCATGTGTGATAATACATGCTGGTAACCATCGTTTAATGAAAGAAAACCCACAATGGTCACAGAAATAACTTAATTATGGCTAAATCAATAGTAAATGAAAATTCTATGAAAATCAACAAAAAAAAGTTGACATGGCTCATGAAACAGGCCGTGATAAAATTTGTAGTACCACTAGAAAAAAATGAAAATAATGTGACTAAAGGAATATTTCAAATTAAGGAGTGCTCACTAATTAGCATTACAGGTACCTAAAATCTTGTAAGCAGTTAGTGTTCCTCTTTATACGGCTACAGGTATCTACTGTGCAGTTTGACATGGTGTGTTCCACACTCTACATGAACCAGAGGAAGTGAGGGAGACCGTTGTCACAGGAGATTAGAAATAAAGTCAGACAAGCATGTTAAAGAAATGCAAAACCGAGTTTAAATTGTCATAGATGTATAACTATAGTCGAGTGGGTGAAATGGACGTACAGAGAAGTTCAAACCCCATCGACACCTCATTTCTCAGCAAATCTCACAATTCTAAACCTCCACCATAAAACAGGCAAATTCAAACAAAGCCCCGGGGGTTGGTGGGGTGGGGTGTCGCTGGCTGGATCGGACCGAGCACTCGAACTGAGCCGTGAGCTCCGGGGCGGGTTTGGTCGCTCCGTCCCCCGCTGGCTTCCTGACCCTGCCCCGGAGCTCATGGCTCAGTTCGAGTGTCCTTGTGAGTTAAACTTGAACTCTTTGCTTCTCCACTCTTCCTGCAGACTATGGGATTATGGTATCCAAATTAAATGCAAAATGTACTTTCAGCAGAGGAGAGGATACAGTCTAGGGTTGTACGATATCAGGAAAAGGCATTGTCATGATTTGAAACCACATGACAGTCTCCCACTACTTTCATTCTTCAACTTCAATATCATTGCTATTTAAAATGAGCATCAGCTGTGAGCATTGGGGGCAGAAATAGTCCATCCAAATGGCCAAATTTGTCGTCAACATGCATAGTATCAGCACATGACAATTGACTTCTAGCATCATAGAAAAATTTGAAAGCCAAGCAATCCTTGGCGATATGCATGTACTGATATTGCTGTAGTAAAGCATTTAAAGCTTCTACTCAGGTCTTACCTCCAATGCCTAGTTGAGATTTTTTATATGATCCCCGTTTCAGTAAGGGTTTTAACACTTAAGTTGTTATCTATGGCTTTGATCTATCTAGGTGTTGAGGCTCGATTTTAACAGTAGTCCACGCATTTAAACTGAAAACCCTACATGAGTTGCTTCACAACCTTTTTGAGGTTGCAGTTACCGCTGTTACTTGCACATGTTTTGCTACCACACTCCTTCCTCTAATTAACTTTCCATTATTTTTCTTGGATACAGCACTTTGTTGTTAAAAACAACCTTTGGTCTACTAACCTCTGTGTGGAGGGTGTCAGTGACTTTTTGCTGGACCACTGTAAAGTAAAAGTCTTCCACATCATCCCTGAAGTTATAATAAATATCTATTTTTAAAATCACTTTTGTTATTATGGAAAAATAATCTTGAAAAACTGAATTTGAGATTGACTGATAAAGGAATTTCAAGGCCGATGTTGATTATTTGGACAGTCTAAGCCTTTGGGGGGGGTCCAAGTTTCCAAATTACATAATTTTAACATTGATACATCTCCGCAGAGCGTCCCCACAGCCCGATTTTCCCGCACCACTGTGTGGTAAGACATGGCGAGTAACAGTTCCTATTAGAGAGGGTTCACAAATATAAACATCTAGAGAACTCTTAGGTTTTGCAAGGAAATATAAACATATTGTGTGAAACGGCTGTCTTTTCTAGTTCTACGTGTAAGTTTGGGGTCTGTTCCATACGTTCCTTCTTGAGTCTGCCAGAATATTAGGTACAAGGGGAAACGTTGCACAAAGAATAACAGTATATAATATAAAGTCTAACTAAACTTTCACTGATCCCAGATAAAGACTTCATACAGCTGCAGATAATTAATTGTTATGTAGTGATTTCCAACATTTCAGTTTTATATCAGTTAAAAATGAACAAATGAAGGCATTACCTGGATGTTCTTCTCACAATCCGTCTGCTGATGCAATGCCAGTTCGCTCTCCAGGACAAACTTCTTGCCACACTTGTCGCAGATCTGCATCCGCCTGTGTGTGACGTTCATGTGCTTCTCCAGGTACCAGCGCGTGTTGAAAACCCTGGGGCACTTCTCGCATGCCAGCATCTCTTTCTCGTCTTCCATCTCTGCCTTTCCTTTGGTCGTTTCCGTACCTGCTGAGGAGGGAGCAGACCTGACTGACCGGCGATTGCTCTTTGGCGGCTCCATGCGTTTCCTACGCCCTCTGGTGGTCATTCCGGCTGTGGCGGCGCTCAGAGCCGTTCTGAGGCTTTTCCTCTTTGGCTGCCTGCCAGCCGTAGTACTCTGCCTTGTTCTTCCTGACCTCGTTCTTTGATTCTCGATCACTTGTTCCTCTTCATCTTCCTCTTCTTCCTCATCATGGCTATCCTCGTCTTCATCCTCCTCCTCTTCGTCCTCCTCTTCATCATCATCATCGCTGCCTCCTCTGTCCGAGTCGTCCGCCGCAGTTCCAGTTTTGTTGTCCCCCTTGGACACATGAAGAGTCTGGTTGTTCAGATTGACCTCTACAATGATCTGCTCACGTTTGTAACCCTCTTCCCCCTCCTCCTCCTCATCTTCATCCACCTCGGTGTCATCAGAGGATCCCTGGTCACCTGTTTCAGACTCCTGTGAGCCCACCTCCTGCGCTCCCTCTCTGAAGTACTGCTGATGCTGCTGTGGAGTCATCTGACCCACGTTCGGATCAGCCACAGACGTCTTGGCTGACATTTTGTTGTCGACCAACACAGAATAAGGTTTTCCACCCACCTCCCTCCTGTGAACCTTTCCCGTCAAATCCAAGTCCGGGTTAGAAGAGTGAAAATAGGACTGAGACACGGGCACTCTACGTGCCTCCTCCTGTGACATCCCGACAAGGCTTGGGATGGAAACCTCCTCCTTTAGGCTCTGGCAGGATTTCATATAGGAACTATGGAGGGATTGAAGCTGTCAGGACAAAAAATCTAAAAAGAAACAACTACGTTGCAAAAGAACACTAGTCTAACCTGCAAGGAGCGGCAGGGGACTAATCCCCCACCCTCCTTCTGCTGAAAAGACAGGAAGGAGGGGACGAGGTGAGAGGTGGTCAACCTGATTCAAAGAACGTGTCCATTCTGTCCTGATAAGGACAGACAATGGGTAAGACATTTAAACTGTACCCCAGTAGAAGTGAGAAAAAAAAAAAATCTCATAAAGGTCAGTTCTTTAAGATCTGCCGTTCCAGAGTTTCAAAAGGCAGAGCCACGTAAGATAAGCCGGAGACGAATCAGGGAGCTCCTATAAGGACCTCCAGGTCTTGCTTGAAGCTCCATTTAACTGTAAAAAGAAAACAGAAAAAGAAAACAACATACAAAGATTAGATTAACTAAGACGTTCTTCCGCTTGCTTTGAGTAAACAGTGAGATTGTGACCTGAAACTGCAGGCATGTGGAGTTTGAAACAGCGAGTGTCACATTTACCCACAAACGTTTGTTTCAGTGCCGAGTGTGGGAGCTGAAACCACAGGTTTCACGAATGAATGCGAGTAAAATTCAATTTCAGGACGGTGCAGAGCGAGTACCTTGCTAGACCACAGCTTAAACGTCTCATTATCAAATTCAACATAAAGAGAGTTCAAGTTTTTATAAGACATGCAAGCATGGTTAACCAAGTAGAAACTTTTCTCAAAGTAAAGATGTTACAGTATCATTTTAAAGATGGATACTTCTGAAAAAAGCTTCAAAGCAGAAACCTCGAAAACAAGCTGAAGTAGAGCATGCAAAAATGATGAGACGCATGCCGTACTTTACTTTCAATCTAAGTCCTGACTTTAGAGTTAATTATTTTCTTAAATTTGCATTCAAAGTCCAAATAATACTGAAGAGACGATCCACAAAACTCTAAATGGCTCTCAAAAACAAATTGCTCACCTGAAACACAAAGTAGTAAGGAAAAACTCTTCGTTTGGTGTAAGCACAACGTGTAATCGCAGCTCCCATTGACTGCTAGAAAGCATAGTATAACCACAGCTTTGGAGCTTCTACTGCAAATACAACCACAGGAAATTGTATGTTGAGCTGTCAGGGAAGCTTATCTGCTACAGTTGTTGTAACCAAAAATGTGATCATCTTGTTTATATGCAAGCTAAAGACAAACTACTTAAAATGCGTACGCCTTTATATAAAACTTGATTTTGCATGATAGGTATAAACTAGGAAGTGTGCACAACAATGCCAAGGTGACTCCATTCTGACACATTGGTGACCTTAAACAGCCTATACCAATAATTCTGAGCATGCATCCTGGCGGGGGTTTTTTTGGCTAGAAAAACCTTCTTTAGCATTACATAAAGTCACACCCCAAAAGAACTGCATTTCCTTTCTTGGAGACAGCAAACATTGCCTCTGTTTTCACAAACATCTTGCACATGCACCCTGGCTTTAAACGAAAAAAAGAAATGACATGAAACTGGCTGCACAAAAAGAAAACAAGCAGCACTACCCTGTGTAAGTAGTTAATGTAAAGTGTACATAAATGCACTGTAGTGCAAATGCAAATGTGAATGTATAGCAGTATCTTAAAAATCATTGAACCACTATTACAAAGGAGGTTATGTGTGTTTGACCGTCTGTGTAAAGGATAACTTAAAGAATTATGAACGGATATTAATGACATTTTTACAAAAAAATGTGACTTGGTCCAAGTAACAATCCATTAAATTTTGGTGATGATCACATATCATAATCCAGATGCAGTCTTTTTTTTAAGGATTAACATTAATGGTGGAACAAGCAGTTCCCCCCTAAACCAGAGGTTGGCAGCAGTGACTATTTACAACTTCAGCATCGGACTAAAAAAAGTCCAGAAGTATTATACTATAGACAAAAACCCAGGAAAGCTGAGCCATGCCTCACACAAAGCCTCTACCTGCTGATCCGACAAGAAAGCAGAATGAATGCAGGTGAGAGCAGAACAAACACCAGAGGCTGCAGACACATGCTGTGCCTTATTTATAAACTTATGAAAAGACTTTAAGGAAATTGTTACCAAAGGTGCACCTCATACCAATGAACAATTCATTTAAATTTAGTAATGCTCCAGATCATGTCCAAGCTTTAGCTATAGGTGTAAGTCACAATATGGGGTCATATTTGCTGCTTGGTGGAGCTCAGAACTCTCCGCGTGCTTTTCTAGTTTTGTCGATGTTTTAGTAGTAGATTAGTAAGAACACTGGTAGCAGGATTATTTTTTTTATGTTAAAAATCAGATCTTATTCCAGAAAGATGTTCCTGAGATTTTATTTCGAACTACTTTCTAAAAAAAATAAATAAATTGAGTAGAAAAAAAGAAAAAATAAGGATGTTCCGATGCAACTTTTCCAGTCTTGATACAATCCCAATATTACAACCTTTAGTACTGATTGACAATAAAGGTGTGCCCATTAATTGGACGGCCGATTGATTCCTAACTTTTCTGAGATCTATGATCAGCTGATACTTCGATGCGAAACCAATAATATCCAGCAATCCCATCGACCTATGCAAAGGTCGGAAAACTGAAAATCACCCACTGTCAATGTTCTGAACTTTATATTTGGGAGCAGCTATTTCAGAAGGTTTTATTGTTTCACAGGTAATGATTATTATCTTTCATAAATATAAGATGGAAATATTGACGGTCTTCAGTGACCTTATTACAACTCAAGGTGTCAGTTAAAAAAGAAAATCTGTATCGATCAAAATCAGAACAGGCATCTCAGGCTTTGTAGAGATCTGAAATTGGTGATCGGCCAGAAACCTGCAATCGGTGCACCCCTAAATTGATACGAATATTCACCTGATATGATTTAATTATAAATATTTTATTAGTCACGTTGTAGTATGGAATGTTAGAAAAGGCTTGAACGAAGTAATATTAAAGAATTATAGTCAACAACAATAGGTACGAGAACAACTGACCCATGTATGATTAACCGATGGTTTACAAAACTAAACAGAAGCAGAGCGTTTCTGTCAGCCTGCTGATGTTGGAGATTTTAGATGGACCGATATTGTTTGTCATTGATATCGGATAGATTTCTTAAATCAATATCATCATTTAAAAAAATTCTTACAAAACTGTTTTTGAATGGAAACAAACAAATAAACAAACCAAAGCCCATGTAAATCTAATAACAGGCTGTTACCTTAGCAGTAACAACTAGTACCAAGAGTCTGTATTAACTAGCATGATCCTTTGAATGACTGCGTTGCATTTTGTTCCATTTTAGACCATTGCACAATAGCTTTAATTAACCCCAACTGAAGGTTTTTCAGACATTAACACTGTGCTTAAAGTCATGTTGTAGCATCACAAAAGAATATCCAATCAATTTTATCTATATACCACATTTAAACAAATAAATGTTTCCAAAGTGCTGCACACGCAACAGGGTAATATAAAAGAAATATAAATAAAATAGTTTAATACAATAAATACAATAAAATAAATACAAAGCCACAGGAGACCACACAACTTACAATGCTAAAAGCCAGAGAACAATACTGAGTCTTAAAACACAATTTAAAACACTCCATGGTGGGGGCTATGTGTATATCAAGGGGTTTGAGCATTCCACCGTTTATGGCCGACAACGGAGAATGCTCAGACCCCTCTGGTTTTCCAAAGTGTCCTAGGAGTCACAGGCTGAAGCTGGGCCTCAGACCTCAAAGTGAGCAGGTGACGGTAAATTTGAATAAGGTCTGCGATGTACTGAGGTGCCAGTCCATTCAAAGCTTTGAAAACAAACAAGAAGAATTCTTCAGAAAATGAAGACAACCTTCAAGCTTCTCCAGAACCGCTGTGAAACAGACAGCAACAGCAGATCCTTCTTACCTACAGTTATCAATATCTACAACAAACCTTCAAAGAAACCTCTAAAAAATAGAGTTAAAACATTTCTTTTCCTGTGAGGTTAATAAAGTCCTGAGAAGATTCACCACTGCTCTGTTTTTCTCCAATGGTGAATAGTGGCTCTTCTCACAATGGTTCACTGCACTCACCAGTTCTTGAAAACGGCTTGTTCATGAATGTCTTATCTGGTCGAGTCATGTTGCTTATTGAAATATTTTGGCCACCATCTGGTAGTCAAGACATGAGGGACTTTCTTTAATACTGAAATAGCTGGTTATGGTTTAATATATTTAGTTCTGGAAAAAAGCAAAAATCTGAAGAAATCTGAAGAAAGTCAGCTAAATGTAAACGCCGTGTTCATTTCTACTCTGCCTTTTTGCACCATAACACTGACCTCCGTCTATTCAGTACTAAGCTGGAGGAAGTTCTACCATAAACACAATCAATCAATGACTGAAAGAAAGAAAGTGACACAGAAACTTCTTACCTTCATATTAAATAAACGTAGACTGAGATTTGAGTCCCAGATTTATAACTGCCATGTTATAAAAACCACTCTCAGCTTAAAGAGAATATTTTCATCCAATTCAATAAAGAAGAACATTATTTTAAGTGAATCAGTCGCTAGGTTGCATTTGTTTAAGAATGTGCAATTTAATGAAGTTAAAATAACAAAACTAGGGCTTAACAATTTGGCAAAAAATAAATAAATAAATAAAAATTGAGAATAATTTCAACCAATATTTTTGTGACCTTGGAAGCTTGCTTGTCCAGAGTCCATTGTTGTAGGTCTAGATTGTAACCTTTGGGTGAAAAGTTCCTATACACTTCCTGCAACCGTCTCTGCCCTTCTTTGTAGTGGCAAAACAGTTTGAAGCGTATTATTAGCACCTAAAAGGCTGGAGGGAGAAACCTAATTCATCTTACTCTGTTAAATGTGACTAAAATTGTGATTAATTGCTGTACACTACTCTCATTATTCTAAATTCAAATATAAAAATAATTCTAAAGTAAAGACAAGGCCAAAAAAAAAAAATCAAAACATCCAATGGCAGCGGCGATAAATCACTCAAAACTAGATTCTTAAACAAACCAGTTTTACTTATCTTAATCATATGGAAGAATGTTAAAGACACACCTGCATTTCTGCTCATGTCGATTCTGATCCCCTCTGAGAATCAGGCAGCAGTTCTCAGAGCATTAAGACCGCAGAGGAGGTGGGGAGGGGGGAGCTCAGCACTGACAGAACAACTCACCTCACATGGTCGTCCTAGACACAAAGCCTAATAGATTATCCCATGTCTACATGACAGGGAAACACAAACTGCATGAGAAACAGCAGCCTGACATGCTTGAGTTAAGGTGCAGTCAGATGGTTTGGTTTCTATCATGCCCGTGTATTCTTCAACAAGAAAACAATATCCCATTCTTTGCATTAAACTAAGGATATCTCTAAATGATCAAATAAAACTCATTGTGCGAACAGAAGGTAAACTGCTGAGAGCCTGCATAATAGGGCTTCCACCCAGTAATGATGAGTCATTTCTGAGTTTCACTCACTGTGAAGTATTTAAGTCTTTTGATGTGGGAATCATGTAGCGTATAGAGCTCTCAATATCAACTGTGATTAGGTTATCACGGTTATACAAATGAACAAGCATTCTGACTTATATTTAGTTTGGACATCTGAATACGAATTTATTGGAAGAAAAAAAAACACATCAGACTCAATTTTTCCCATCTAAAGCACAGAGAAATTGAAGTTTCATCTCTAAACGTCGATTAAAAGCTTTCCTTAAGAGACATGCTGAGAACCAAACATTTTTGCATAGGCAAAGCCACAAAGCCAGTCATACACCGGATAGATGCTACTGTGGCTTAAGATTTGTATGACACAGGATGGGAGTGTTACTGCAAAGCAACTGTAGAACAACATAAATGGTGCATGTATTGAAAAGTGCTTAGCCAGATGTCTGACACAGATGACACCTCTGCAGTCCAAAAGGTGCTGTGCATTACCTTAAATATGCAAAGCTGCTGAAATCCATGCACCTTCTCAGGTACTGTATGTGCTTTAATGAGCTCTCTCTTTTCCCAGCTTGTGGACTGTGTGAAGGTTCACATTCCTCACTCTGTCCAAACTCATAAGACCTTAACTAGCTCACTGTGCAGCGGCGCTGCAGGGATGCTTCATGCCTCTGAAGGTATGTGGCCATCAAGCACATAATCAGCTCACACAGCTATGCCCTTGTGTTGCTGTCCGCTGCATATCTTTTGCTTTAACTTTATGTAAAGTGTGAAAAAAAAACATATTAGTTACAATGTGACTTAAGGGATCTCCCTCCTGCTTGGATTGAGACATTTGCAAAGCTTACAGAAACCAGTTATGGTAAATATTGAGATATCTCAAATAAAAGCACGTGATTCTTAAGTGATATAATTGTGTTTTTTTTTTTTTTTCTTTTAGAACAAAGAATTGGAAAGAAAGCCAAGGAAAGGGTTAAAACCAGAAGGCAACAATGTTCAGCTAATAGCAGAGACCCTGAACAGGCCTGGGCAACTTATGCTACTTAGCCCGCTAGCTAAAGTCTGCAGTTACTAACCTTAATGTGCATGACAGGCTAACCTGGCTACATTAGCTAACGATGTTCTGATAACGTTCCTTTATCTGCAGAAATATATAATCTGACAGCATTCAGCGTTTAATCTTCTTCTACCTACATGCATTACCCAAAACAAAAGCACACACTTTCACTTTTTTTTAACCCCAAACCGCCCAGAATGTTGCTAGCTAGCTTAAAGCTAACGCCGACGTTAAAGTTTTAGGTATAAAGATTCAACTTTAGGTCTGCGTTGCATTTTGAAGATAATATATAGCAGCTATCGGGCCCATGATAAGCTAAAGCTGCTGTTAGGCTTTGTTTTTAGACTGTTTTTTTCTCGTTGTGAGCTGCTGACCAAACAAACAAAACCAAAAAAAAAAAAAAAAACAAACAGAGCCGAACCCACTCTACCAGACACTGTCAAAGTCAGCCTTCACAGCTTTTACCGTAGCTTCGACCACCGGCTTCCGGACACTTGCGCTCGTTTCCCCTGGCAGCTGCCACCCCCCTGGATGTCAGCCTCGCAGGTTCTGAAAATCCACTAAAACAGCGACATTTTGCGCTTACCTCCGTCTACGGAGAGAGCAACCTTCTTCTTGCGTTTGTGCAATCAGAGCTGCACAGATTCAGCAGAGCTGCTTGCCCTCCCTCCTCTATGCATACGGAGCTGGTAATGCCAGCTTGTATTTAATGTGTGCAAAAAAAAAAAAAAAAAAAAGCGGGAGGATGTTGTTGGTGTGCATTACACCGGGGATACCTTCGCACCGGCGTCCTCAGCTCCGCTACGTGGCCCCGGCGAGCACTGAGCCGTCCTCCCGCGCTCACCCGAGGCATCCAGGCCACTGTCTCAGCGCACGCGCGGGGTTCAGTGTCTGGAGTATTTTCGTTTACAACAAAATCCGTGGCCCAAGTGGGCGCTTACTAATGGCGTAAATATCGGTATGCTTATGGGCATATTGTCAGAGGCGTAGCCAGAAAGTTTTTATAAGGGTGGCCAGGCAAAAACCAATGTACACTGATGGGTGGCCGAAAGTGGATAGGCGCCGGAACCTCAGGGTCAATTAACCTGTTCCAAAAGGAAAATTAACAAGCACAACATCCATATGTTTTAAATGAAGACAAACTATACTTTCCTACAGCCTTTTCTAACAAATTGACGCATATATTTAAAATATATAGGTGGTAAAATTCTTTCAGGTTTGAGTTCTGGGGCAGACATCTTTTCTATTGTCATTACCCACCTACTTTTATCAATAACCATTCTGCATAAAATTGATATTTACAAGCACTAATATCTACATAAATTGATTGCTTAATAAATTTTTATTAAAATATTTATTTATCAATGATTTCACAGAAGACTCCTAAATGACTTGGAGAGATGCATAATTCTCTTTTTACCCCATAAAACACAAAATCTAGTTCCGAAAAGAGCATGAATTCCGTACTTATCATCTTTAATGTTAGTATACTGATGTGCATAATTAACCACAGTGCTTTTTGTTGTCATGTAATTCTTACTATATGAAAAATCAAAATGTTTTAAATATTCCACCTAAAAGTATTACTGCTGCCTCCATCTGTATTAGAGGGAAAAAATTGGTAGGGGTGGCCACCCCTGGCCCCCCAACTAGCTCCGCCCCTGCCTATTGTTGTATTGTTACGCCATTGGCGCTTACATTTATTTACGAATAGACTTCTTTAGGTTTAGGCATTGCTTTCGTGACTCTAGGTTTAAATATGAATCCTGTAAAGTTAGGGTTAGTAGATATTGTAAATTGATGAGCAGAGGCGTAGCCAGAAATTTTTCATAAGGGTGGCCAGGCAATAACCAATGAACACTGAGGGGTGGCCTAAAGTAGATGGGCACCAAAACCTCACAGTCAATCTAAACTGTTCCAACTGGAAAATAACGAGCAAAACATCCATATTTTATACATAAAGAAAGACTATACTTTCCCACAACCTTTGTTAACAAATAGATGCCTATATTCAAACATCCGTGCTTTCTAGATAAAAGGTATAATCCTTCAAGGTTGAAGTTTGGGCCAAAGTCCGTTTCCATTGTCATTACTTACCTACTTTTATCAGTAATAATTCTTCATAAAATTGATATTTACAAGTACTAAAATCTACATATATTATTTAGTAAGTTTGTATTAAAATAGTTATCTATAATTTCAATGAAGACTCATAGATGACTTGCAGAGACACATCATTTTCTCTTTACCCCATAAAATCTAGTTCTGAAAAGAGCATGAATTCTGTACTTATCACCTTTAATGATAGTATATTGACGTGCATAATTAAACGCAGTGTTTCTGTTGTCAAGTAATAAAAAATTAAAATGTTTTGAATATTCCACTTGAGAGTATTACTGCTGCCACCATCTACATTAGAGGGAAATAAAAGGTAGGGGTGGCCTATGATTGGCTAAGGGTGGCCATGGCCACCCCTGGCCCCCCATCTAGCTCCGCCCCTGTTGTTGAGGAGAATCCATCACAGAGGCGCATGGGTCACAGAATTTATCGCTACACCCCTATAAACCTGATATTTTCCTTAATTTACCTCATCTTCTCTCTTAATAATTTAGACAAGGAAGGTTTGTTTTACAGATTTTAATTTAGTGTCCAATGGGAGAATCCAGAGCACATGTAAAGAAATATGACGTATTAAAAAGTACATATAAAAGAATTAAAATGCACATTTAAAACAAACATTAGCACATGAAAAAGAAATGCAATTTAAACGCATTTCTTTTTCATAAAGTTGTTTTTTTAGACCCCATGAAAATGTATAAGTAGAAACCGCAGGCGTAACTTTCTGAAGGACTGGTGTGGACATGCCCCCCACCAATAATTTCAATACATAGACTTTGGCTCTCAATAACATTTAGGACAATTTTCTAAATTTGATTTTGCTGCTTTTGAAGGAGGATGATTACTGATGTAGCTGAAAGGGAAAGCATCCATCAATCAATCCACATTTTTCCCGATGGATGATTGAATGAAACTAAAATTGTGTCATACGAGGGAGGCATGATATATTGCTGTTGGCATCAGAATCAGCTGTTATCAATCCCTTTTTTTTTTTATTAGAAATTAATGTCTAACTATAGACTAAATATAAACATCTGTGTATTTTTGTTCTTGTCTTCTCAACAATAGGAAAGCATTCAATAAATATGTGTTTGAGCTCATTTTTGGAAAATATAAACCCTATTGAAAGCATTTGTGTCAAGTAACTGTAGGTCCATCAGCCACCACCCTTAGAGTGTCCCAAAAAACTTTCATAACAAAGTCACACTCTTGGTAGAAACTAAACACTTTAACAGCTTGTCTGATTCAGATGATGGGAACACTGACTATTGATGCAGTTCTGGGTCCTGTATTGATAAAAATAAATTGGGATGTTTCCTTTAATATTGCTGCACAGCAATTATTGGGATGTTTCTGGTATAGTCAGTGGTTAAAAACAAAATTGAGTCCTAATGGTAATTATTTTG